GGAATAGACAATGAATAGGGAATGGTAACGGGATAACGGTTCGGGAGGCCTTGATAGAGAGAGAGAGAGAGAGCACTTACCATCAGAGATAGGAGAACCCCTCGCTGAGCCGTTATAAACCGTTACAATATTATTATTTTACATTATTTTATATAATACAATCGAGATCAATTTACATTTTTGCCAAAAATTGGTTGTTACAAGTAATTTACAAATAATCCATAAATACACTGTAAGTACAATAAAATTAATAAATTAAACTTAATAAAAAAATTTTAAAATAATATTTAAATGTTTTTTACCAAATTAAAATAACTACAGTAACAAAAATTAATTAAACACAATAAAATGAACCCGGAACAATTACTAGAGTGCGAACGGGTAGCCATAGAGGTGGCCATAGGAGCGGGCGCTCTGATGCGTTCGGCGCGATCGGGCGGCCGTCTGGTCGTCAGCACTAAAGCCAATAACACAGATCTGGTGACCGAAACGGACAAACAGGTGGAGCGGTATGTCTTCGACAGCATTCGCCGACACTTTCCCGACCACCGGTTCATTGGCGAAGAGTCCCGATATGAGGGCACCGGTAGTGAAAAAGGCCTGACATCTCACCCCACGTGGATTATAGACCCCATCGACGGTACGATGAATTTCGTGCACAACAATCCCCACACATGCGTTAGCATAGCGTTGACCGTCGGCGGCCAACCGGTGGTCGGTGTAGTGTACGGCCCGTTTGTTGACCAGCTATACGCGGCCCGGACGGGGGCCGGCGCCCGGTGTAACGGTCAACCGATATCCGTCCGGAAAAACTGTCGCAAACTGTGCGACGCTTTGGTAATCTCGGAGCCGGGCATCGGTGGGTGTCGTGACGCCGACGCCCGCCGGGCAGATATGGCCAACATTAACGCCGTTGTGTGGCTCTCGCATGGGTTCAGGTGTCTCGGGTCGGCCGCACTGAACCTATGTTATGTGGCCGAAGGGGCGGTCGACGCCCTCTGGCATTTCGGTATACATGTGTGGGATTACGCGGCCGCCGGTCTCATAGTGACTGAGGCCGGAGGTGTTTTGTTGGACACCGAGGGCGGGCCCGTTGACTGGTGCCGTAGGCGGGTGATAGCCGCCAGTACACCTGAGTTAGGCCAAGAGCTAAGTGCTGCCCTTGTCGAGCATTTAGACTATGAACGTGATTAGTATGACTAGTTTTTTAATTTACTAGATTGAAGTTTTAATAATTAATGATATACATGTACTGTATTTAATAATTATTGTAATTTAGTTAAATAATGTTTTTCAAAGTTTAAATTGTATTATTTAAGGATAAACTAAAATAAATAAAGTTTACAGTAATATGATATTGTTGGTTTAATTTGTATTAAATTATAATGGTGTAGTAAATCAATAAGCGTAAAAAATAACTGGCAAATATAACCACGATCAAATTTAAAGTACAATTAATAAATAAAGCAAAACATGTTAAATAAATACTAAACTAAAAATACAAAACACTTTATTAAATTTCTAGATAAACATTATAATTAACATGATATTCCACTACATGTGTATTAATTGTGTTATCATTTAATCACTTGATTAAACAAACTATGTAAACGTTAAGCGCATGTCTTATAATGACAGACATTGAAAACTGAATTAATATAAACATAAACTTGTGACAAATTAAATATTTTTCTATTTTAATACAATAATAACTAATTAACACTTTTATTAAATAATAAGCATTTTAATTCAAGTTACAACTACACCACAAACTTTTTATACTGTAAGTACTAAAATATTAACAAATTTAATATTAAAATAACATCAAAACAAATAAACCACAATAATTACAGTAACCCAGATCACCAAAACATAACATAATGAACCCGGAGCAATTACTAGATTGCGAACGAGTGGCTATACAGGTGGCCATAGGGGCGGGCGCTATGATGCGAACGGCCAGACAGGCCGGGCGTCTAGAAATATCGACCAAAGACTTCTCCAAAGATCTGGTGACCGAAACGGACAAACAGGTGGAGCGTTCGGTCTTCGACAGAATTAGACAGCACTTCCCTAACCACCGGTTCATCGGTGAAGAGTCCCGGTTTGAGGGCATAGGTGGTGAAAAAGGTCTGACCTCTGAGCCCACGTGGATCATAGACCCCATCGACGGTACCATGAATTTCGTGCACAACAACCCCCACACATGCGTTAGCATAGCGTTGGCCGTCGGCGGCCAACCGGTAGTTGGTGTGGTGTACGGACCGTTTCTGGACAAGCTATACACCGCCCGGTCGGGGGCCGGCGCCCGGTGTAACGGTCAACCTATATCTGCCCGGAAAAACTGCCGCCAACTGTCCGACGCTTTGGTAATTGCAGAGCCGGGCATTTTTAAGGATCCTGACGATCGCCGCCGCGATTTGGCCAACATTAATGCAATTGTCTGGAAGTCACATGGGCTCAGGTGTAACGGCTCGGCTGCCCTACAACTCTGTTGTCTGGCTGAAGGGTCGGCCGACGCCCTCTGGCATTGGGGTATACATGTGTGGGATTACGCGGCCGGAGGTCTCATATTGACTGAGGCCGGGGGTGTAGTGTTGGACACTCAAGGAGGGCCTGTTGACTGGTGCCGTAGACGTGTCATAGGCGCCAGTTCACTCGAGTTGGGTCAAGAGTTGAGTGCAACCCTAGTCGAGCATTTAGAGTTTGAACGTGATTAGTCTGTCTAGTTTATTAATTAAATTTACATATGAATAATAAATATAATGTTTATTTTTGAAATTATTAAAATATAATTAATTTTTATATAAACTTAATAAATGTATTTATACTGCTTAGATAAAATGTAAAATAAAATGAAATTATATTGCGATTATAATTTACAAATATGTTATGTAAAAAACAATTTAATTTGTGATATTTTTTAATTCATACTAAAATTAATTCATACTGTATATTAAATTATTAGTTAAACATGATGATTAAGGTAACTTGTAATAACCTTCAAATGATTTTCCACTACACATGTGAAGTCATAGTAAATATGTACATGTAATTGTGTATTATCACTTGATTAAACAAACTATGCTAGTTTAGATATCAATAGTTAACTTTATATAGTTAAGCGCATGCCTTATAATAACAGCCAGACATTGAAAACTGAATTAATAACAAAAATAAACTATTGATAAATGTCATTATTTGTTATTTTAAAACAATAGTGGTTAATTCACAAATCACAAATTAAAATAATACTCAAATTAAATTGATATTGGCATCGTAAATAACTACATTTAACATTTAACTACATTGTAAATATACCGTAAGTACTATAAAATTAAAAATTAAATATAAATGAAATATTATCATAATAATTTATTATACATAGCAACTAACAACTACCACAAGGTCAACTAAACATCTTTATAAATGAACCAGGGAGTATTATTAGAGTGCGAACGGGTGGCCATACAAGTGGCCATAGGGGCGGGTGCTCTGATACGGTCAGCTCGATCGGCCGGGCGTCTAGAGATCTCGGCCAAAGAGTCTGCCGTAGATTTAGTCACCGAAACGGACAAACAGGTGGAGCGGTATGTATTTGATAGCATAAGACAACACTTCCCTAACCACCGGTTCATCGGCGAAGAGTCCCGGTCTGAAGGCACCGGCACTGAGCCCCGGGGGCTGACCTCTGACCCCACATGGATTATAGACCCCATCGACGGTACCATGAATTTCGTGCACAACAACCCCAACACATGCGTTAGCATAGCGCTGGCCGTCGGCGGCCAACCGGTAGTCGGTGTGATATACGGACCGTTTCTGGACAAGCTATACACCGCCCGATTGGGTGCCGGCGCCCGGTGTAACGGCCAACCAATCACCGCCCGCACAAACTGTCGCAAACTATCCGACGCGATGCTAATCACAGAGATGGGCAACCATCAGGAGCCCGACCAGCGCCGGGCTGTTATGGCCAACATAGAGGCCATTATCTGGCGGTCACACGGGTTCAGGTGTATGGGGTCGACGGCTCTACAGCTGTGTTGTTTGGCCGAAGGGGCGGCCGACGGCTTTTGGCACTTTGGTATACATGTGTGGGATTACGCGGCCGGAGGTCTCATATTGACTGAGGCCGGGGGTGTAGTGTTGGACACCCAGGGAGGGCCCATTGACTGGTGCCGTAGGCGTGTGTTGGCCGCCAGTTCACCCGAGTTGGGTCAAGAGCTGAGTGCGGCCCTCATCGAGCATTTAGAGTATGAACGTGATTAGTTTGCTAATTTTTAAAATTAACTAGATTGAAGTTTTGATAATTAATTATATACTGTATTTAATGATTGTGGTAATTTAGTTATTTTGAAATATGCTAATAAATAATGTTTTTAAAAATGTTAATATAATTTGTTTGTACAAAAATTTAATTGTGAATATTTAATTAGTTATAATAAATTTAATTTTGTTTATAACATTACGATATTAGATTATTTAAATTAAAATAATTAAAATTTTGATCATTTTAATCATATGTAAAATAATTAAACATATAAAATAGATTTAGTCAATGAATCAGTTATTACAATAATAAATATTGTTGTGACAACTGTTTAGATCGAAAGCGATGATCACAAACAATGTATCGATAATCGAGTTTGACTACCGATACGGGAGTTATAGTACGTTTGAGAGCGTATGAGAGCGTATGTATGAGAGTATGTGTCCGTTTGGGCACCGATTGTATGAATGAGTAGTCGTTTCGAGTTTAACACAAATTAACTGATTTATTTATTTAAAACCCCACTTATAATATTAGAGTACACTATATGTGAGTAACATATGAATAGAGTATAAATTACAACACAAGGGTTTTATGCTGGGAGTACTGAGAAGTAATTTTTAAGCACACTTAATCTAGATAGATACTTTTACAAGTTTAATTGAAAACAATTTGCTAAGTTTCACAAATAAAAAAACACAAAATGTCAGTATATTATAATATACCAAACGATAACAGCAACATTACTGTGTTGTTAATAAAATATATTATAATGAAAAACCAGGGCACACAAAGACTAATGATTATAACCAAGACTGAGCAAAGCTTTCAAAAGGTTTCAAAAAAAGTTTTTAGCTAGAAATTATTAGTGTTGTATTTTCAAACATTAGTCCCAAATGCCATTATATTTGTTTACAATGTATAACACATAATGCAACCCACCACACTCTTAATTTCATAACGACATATTTGAATGCAATATGATAATAATAAATTGACTATAGAATATGTTGCCCTATAATGCGGGCAAATGCACTGGAATGCGCGCTCAGCTCATCGTTGATTATAACATTTATTGTAATTGTTATTGTATTGTAATAGTTAACAAATTAATAAGGCAATTCAATTATTAATACTATATGCCTGATCATAGTTTATACAAATACAATATTATTTCAATTCTAATTGTTAAATATATTAATTACATTAGAACTATTGACTATGTTCTATATTAAATTATTAACTTAAAATTTTGTTGAAATTAATTACAAATAATATTAATATTCTTATTAACGCTAACATCTTACTACTCCAGAATTCAATAATCTTTTGCATTATTAGATTAAAAATAATCTAACAAAATTATTTTAATATCTGAGAATTGGTATAAATAAGTTAAATAATTATGGAAAAAGCATATGTTTACTAAACTTCGCTTTCAATACAAATACATTTTTGACATTTATTAATAATTTTATGAAAAATGAATTTTGATAGTTTAAGTATGTATGTTTCTTACAAAGTAATAAAATTTATATTATTGTATTATTGAAATATGTTTATATTTTTGCAGCTATTCAATTATTGATAATTGTTTTAATTAACAATGTTTTTGGCGAATACATAACATGCCCTAATGATGTACCCATTATGTCACCATGTCACTACTACGATGAACCTACAGATTGTAGCATTACATGCGAGGATATAGGCAGACTTGATATAAAAGCAATATTAAGCGATCTATACCATAGGCTACCCATTGATAAAAACCAATTTAGGTTTATTGAAATCCACAACCAATTATTACAAGTATTGCCGGCCAACGCTTTTGGTGGTATTCAGTTTAGAGAAATTTATATTATAGGAACAGGATTACAGCGAATCAATGTTGCTGCGTTTGATGGCACGGCTTCCAGTACAACACTACTTTCCATTGTATATACTACGATCAACGAATTGGCCACAAACGAGTCGGATCTGTTCGGTGCGATTGATACGCTGAAGAATCTGGAGACACTCAACATTAAGAAAACCGGCGTTACCACATTGCCCACAATGAGTTTATCGGGTTTAAGAAATTTACAAAAGATAATGTTTTGGAATAATCCACTAAAGACTATATTTGCCGATGCGATCCATAATTTACCATCCCTTACAAAGCTGACATTCAAAGACAGCCCAATAGAACGTGTGTCCGAACACCCCTTCACAATTGGTCGTAACACTACTGACCAAAGTTTAGAAATAGAGTTTGATCCTTTACTAAACGACAGTTTCGACAGCAGTACGTTTGCGTCGATCGGTTGCCCAACAACTATACGACTGCTAAAAGGATCGATGAAATACATGAACAGTAATACATTTGAAGTGTTTTTGAATGAAAATACTTTAAATGAATTGATTGACGAGAGTATCGATTGCGCCGATAGTCGTAATCAATGGATTAAACAGAAATATCCGCACGTATGGGAAGATTTAAAATGTACCTAAATTTAAATAAACAGTATTTTATTGAATTCCTAAATTACGAATAAAATTTGTTATTAATGAATGCTAAAATTGATGACAATTATAGTAATCAAACTCTTCACAAATTAATGTTGTTGTATATCTTAATTTAAATTAAATAATGATGCTATAATAAATTAAAAAGAATTTTAAAAATTGACAAAAATAATTCATTTAGAATTTGTAAAATAAATGCTAACATATGCTACTGTGCTATGCATTCAATTTTAAAATAAATATAATCATGTAATTTTCCACTACACGTGTATTAATAGTGTGATTATTAACTGATTATTTAATTACTTGATTAAACAAACGATAATATAGTGAAAGTTAAGCGCATGCCTTATTATGATAGACAGACATTGAAAACCTGAAATAGTAACTAGTAATAAATACAGTACTATTATTTTACACTATTTTATATAATACAATCGAGATCAATTTACATTTTTGCCAAAAAATATTCGGTTTCAAGTAGTAATTAATAATTCATAAATACACTGTAAGTACAATCAAATTATTAAATTAAACTTAATGAAAATTAAATTTTAACATAATCCTTAAATGTTTTTTACTAAACTAAAATAACTAGAGTAACAAAGATTAATTAACCACAATAAAATGAACCCGGAACAATTACTAGAGTGCGAACGGGTAGCCATAGAGGTGGCCATAGGGGCGGGCGCTCTGATGCGATCGGCGCGATCGGGAGGCCGTCTGGTCGTCAGCACTAAAGCCAATAACACAGATCTGGTGACCGAAACGGACAAACAGGTGGAGCGGTATGTCTTCGACAGCATTCGCCGACACTTTCCCGACCACCGGTTCATCGGCGAAGAGTCACGATATGAGGGCAACGGTAGTGAAAAAGGCCTGACATCTCACCCCAC